TAGAAACTTGAAGTGAACTAGGAAACGGGGTGCCTCTGAGATCTTATCCCTATTTCCTGTCCCTAGCCTGTGGCTTCTAAGAGCATCTGAAGGCCTGCTCTGAACTTAACTCTTTTTACCCATTGCCCAAAAAAGCACAGATTGTTGCAGAGCAGTGGTGGCAGATGCCTTTAATTCCAACACTCAGGAGGCAGAGGCAGGCAGATCTCTGTGAGTTCAAGGCCAGCCTGGTCTACAGAGTGAGTTCCAGGACAGCCAAGGCTGTTACATGGAGGGAAAAAAGGACAGATTGTCAAGAGCAAGGAGAAAGGTGCATTTCTGCCATGGCAAGATGAAGTTCTACACCAGAGGGCCCATCTTCACTTAGCCTCCAGCAAGTTCCTTTTGCTTTTAGGCAATGGGGAGAGAAAGGGTTTGTGTTAGGAAGAGACAAATGACCAGACACTTGTGGGTGCTGATCCAGGGAGTGGAGTGGAACTGGAGACAGTGAAGCTGCTTGGTGCCCTGGAAATCTTACACTGGTGTCCTCAGCGTCCAGCCCCAGGGGAGATAGATGAGGACCATTTCAGCAGAACCCTGAGTTATACAGTTCTGGACCAACATTTCCTAAATTGAACATGACTCCAGGCCAAGTTGAGCAGAACCAATCTGACCTCAACTGTAGCTGCCTAGTTTTATGTCAGCTTGACACAAACTAGAGTCACCAGAGAGGAGGGAGCGTCAAAGCGTCAATTGAGAAAATGCCTCCTTCAGATCAGGCTGTAGACAAGTCTGTAGGTTCTTAATTAGTGATCAGTGGGGGAGGGCCCAGCCCATTGTGGGTGGTGCCATCCCTGGGCTGGGGGTCCTAGGGTCTACAAGAAAGCAGACTGAGCAAGCCATGATGAGCAAGCCAGTAAGCAGCATCCTTGCATGACCTCCGCATCAGCTCCTGCCTCCGGGTTCCTGCCGTGTTTGGCTTCCAGTGTTGACTTCCTCGATGAACAGATGAGGAAGAGTCAGCCAAACAAACTTTTCCTCCCCAACCTTGGTCACGGTGCTTCACCACAGCAATAAAACCCTAAGATACCAATGTTTGGGTAATAAATGACTCAGCCGTGAGGAGAAGAGCAAGATGTCAAGTCTTTTACCACGGTTCACTCTCCTGTCGCCATCTGCCAGCCCGGGTAGACAGTCAACGCTTTTTTTAAAAAGATTTTATTTATTTATAAAATCTACTTTATAAGATTTACTTATTTATTTTGTTCAGGTGTTCCTCTGAATGTATGTCTGTGCACTACATGCAAGCATAGTGCCCTCAGAGGGAGCTGGGTATCGAACCCAGGTCCTCTGGAAGAACACGCAGTGCTCTTAACCGCTGTGCCATCTTCAGCTCCAGCCAGTGCTTTTGACAGAAGTTGTTCCCAAGTCCCTGAAACTAACTAAGGCAAACGTCATCACCACAACCCTCGTGACAGAGGCACTATCTACAGCCATGCCAGGGAGAAACAGAATGCAGTTCTCAGCAGTGTGACTATTAGCAAAAATTAGTGGGCTTTTATTAGGTATTTTCTGGGTTTTGTTTTGCTCTCATTTGTTTGTTTGAAATGGTATTTTTTTTAGAAAAAAATTACATTTTTTACAGTGTGTGTGTGTGTGTGTATGTGTGTGTGTTTGTGTGTTTGTGTGTGTATGTATGTGTGTTTGTGTGTATGTATGTGTGTGTTTGTGTGTATGTATGTGTGTGTGTTTGTGTGTATATGTGTGTGTTTGTGTGTATTTGTGTGTATGTATGTGTTTGTGTGTATATATGTGTGTATATATGTGTGTGTGTTTGTGTGTGTGTATGTGTGTGTGTGTGTGTGTGTGTGTGTGTGTGTGTGTGGGCGCGCGCATGCATGTGCATATGCTCATGTATATGGGAGCTGTGGAGGCCAGAGAACAACGTACAGGAATCAACTCTCCCCTTTCACTATTCGGGTTCTAGGGAATGAACTCAGGCCATGGGTACCCACTGTGACCTGGTGTTTTGGGGTTGCTGTGTTGTGCACATTCCCTCTCAATCTTGCCCCTGGAGAGCCAAGAGACTGGTAGAAGGAAGTGAGCACTGAGATGAGCCTGACCGCTTTGCTCAGCTGCCTCCCAAACTCCTGCAGCGTTCCAAGTCTACACCCCGTTCCTCAGGCTAACCCCCAACCCTCTATTCTACCACAGCACATCCGTCTCCGACGTGCCTGTATCCCGTCTCCGTCTCCACTGCCCACTTATCGCCCAGGTCCCAGCTGCCCACAGTTTTCCCTGGTCTGCCCCCCAGTACACCCCCATTCACAACGCATCATCCCCAGCCCAGGCAGAGAAAGGTAAAGACTATAAAATCGATCAGAGCGTGCCACTCCTCCACTTCAAGCTTCAGAGTCCTCTGACTCCTGCCAGGCCGATGGGCCCTGTGTTCTGGCCGCTGCCTACCAGCGCAGGCTGCCACTCCCATTACCCGTCTACAACAGCCCTGGCTTCATTCCTAGCCACACGACCTTTGCCTAGCTGATCCCCTTCTCTGGCTTTTACCCACTACTGTGTCTCATGAAACTCAACTCCCTCTTCCCAGAGTTGTTCTCTGAGGCCACCCATCCCAGCCACTTCCCAAACTCCCCACCCTCATGGTCTCCTCCATGCCCCCTCCCCACCTTCTTGCCTTCCTCCACTTAGCGAGACCCTGGTTATTATCAACGTGTGAATTTGCCTCTTCTACCTCAGAAATATTCAGGAACCTCACCTCTCCTGCTCACTCCTTTGTTTGCTCAGAGAAGTGACTTACCCCTGCCCCATCCCCCCACCTGTAGTAAAGAGATCTTTCCCCCAGAGTCCTTGGAGCTCTCCACCTCTGAGCAGAGCCTCTTTTAGCGCTTCTAAAGGATCCAGGCTTGTAAAGTTGATCCATCCTGTACATCTGGGATGGCTCAGAGGGGGCTCCTTGGTCCCTTCATTCTAAAAACTACGTGCATGCCGAGTTCCCCAAAATGGCAAGGCCTTCCAGGGCTACATGGAAGTTGCCTCAAGAATCTACTCACTAATAAGTGATGAAGACATAGAACATGCCCCATCATCTGCCACTGCATGCACACACACACACACACACACACACACACACAGAGAGAGAGAGAGAGAGAGAGAGAGAGAGAGAGAGAGAGAGAGGAAAGGGGGGACGGAGGGAGGGGAGAGTTTGGGTTGTAGTCACAACCAGCTTCTCACCAAGCATTTCCCCTCTCCATCCCACAGAATCGATATAGCCTCTACCTGACAATCCCTTCCCACTCCCTCTTGACTGAACTGCTATCTGGCTTGAAGGGTTGACCCCATCTGATTCTCCTTAGGAGTGTCTCTCTGATGCACTCAAACAAAGCATGGCCATTGGTGCCTTCTCTTCTCATCTGGGTCTTCACATGGCCCTTGACGTGAGACAGGCAGTCACGGAATGGCGCATGCAGCAGGTATCTGGGAGCCAAGGGCCATTCGAAGAGCTGAAATACAGCAGGTGGTTCCGTCAGAGAGAGCACTTGGTCAGATGCTGAGCCGTGACTCAAATGGGGTTACAAGATGTCCTCAAAGTGAAGGGTAAAGTGCAAGGGCCAACCCTGTCCCCAGGTCTCCTATGGGAATCCCTGATGGGATCACAGTGACTTGCAGTGAGGCCCACAGGAAGGGTCTGGTCTGAGCTGGAAAGAATGAGGACTTGGCTGGCCACCCAAGCCAGGGCTGAGAATAGAATAAGACTGTGGCCTTGATGGAGCTGCGCCTGGGAAGGCAATGAAAAACAAGCTCTTCGAACCTGAAAGGGGTCCATGTGGCTGAGACTCAGAGTACCATAGGTCCAGGGAGGTCTAGAAGGTCAGTTCACACAAAATCATGGCTAGGTGCCGATCCAGCAGGCGGTTTGACATCCCAGGAAGTGGCTGCCCGATGGACTTTCCTGGGGTCCCACACCAATTTGGGTGGGAGAGATCCCTCCCTGGGTCTGACCCCTGAACCCCTGGATCCAGGCCATCGGGACGGGGTAGGATGAGTGGTGGGAAGCAGGCCAACATATCTCGGTAGGTCTTGGGGAAGCCAAGGACAGAGTTCTGACTGCAGGCTACGGTTCTATGCTCCAAAGAAGTCTCCAGCACAGATCCTAACCCCAGCAGGGCCCGAGGCTCTCTGCCCAGGAAGCTCAGCTCCCACGTCACCTTCCCTGTCCATTCCCCGTCCTTCTCCGTCTGCCTTAGTCCTTCGATGTCTATTTATTGCGGGTTTCCTACACTGAGTTGTGAGTTCTCAGAAGGCAAGGGGGTATCACAGGAGGTTTTTAAATAAAGCAACTTGCAGGGTCTAGGCAGTTTCTTAAATAGTGACAAAGGGTGGCCTTACTGAAGGCCTCCACTAGGGCCTGGGGTGAGGAAAGAAAGAATGAGAAACAAAGGTGACCAGAGGGGAGGGCCCCTCCTGGGTGACAGGGGACGGAAGACAGACATGACCAGGATGAGCCCTGAAAGAAGCCTCAGCCCTGTGTGTCATGCCCAAGTGGCCTGGGCCCCACCCTGTCTTCTCTGCCAGGCAATGTCCTATTCACAGGCACGACCTGGGTACATACGATCACATGCCCGTGGGGTGCAGTACGTCAACACAGAACACACATGCCAATCCAGAGCTTTTCTTGAGCCTCTGGTCCATCTGAGGCCTTCCCCTCACACAGAAAAAGGACTCATGAGAACTTTTGTTTGTGACCCCAGTGCCCGATACTAACCCAGGGCCCCAGAGGAGGTATGGGAAAAGTGGGGAGATGAGGGACCACACCCAAGGCCAGAGGTCAACAAGGAGGAAGCTTGGGAAGCAGGGGTCTCCGGTCAAGCTCTGACACCTGTCACCACTGACACTTCCTCGGGTCCACTTCAGTGCTGGGTGGTTGGCGGCCTGAGAGGCCTCCCCACCCTCCAGAGTCCAAAGACCACAGGTGTGGCTTCTTCAAAGCCCGCTTCCTCACAGGCCACCTGATCGTCAGTAGGTCTCTGCCTGAGGCAGCTGGCAGAGAGGCCAAACAGTTCTCCCTCCAACGGCACTGGACCACTGGCTCAACCATCGGCCTCCCGGGGGACCAGACATCCGGCTACACTGGTACTCAGGTAAGAGCCAATTACCAGGGGATAACAAGGATGGGAGAGCTTGGGGCCAACGTGGGCACACCTGTGGTTTCCCAGGGTTGGGGTATCTCGCAGCCTCATCTCAGGTTTAGGAGCAAAGACTAGCCCCAGGAACTTCGTCGCTGGCTGGAGACCAGAAAGAGCAAGAGGCTCCCGAAGGCTTCCCCCGGGGTCAGCCATGTACATCCCCCTACCTTGTTTTATCCACCTATACAAGGGAAAGCAAAGGCCGCTAAAAGGGGCCAGGCAGGGCAAACAGTACCTCAGCCCTGCAGTGCAGGGTCTTTAGCAGTAGCTGTTGAACCACCTCTGTCAGCCCACAGGAACCCTTGGTGACTTAGAAGAACCATAATGTGTGAAAGAGCGGGCAGGGCTGAGCAGAGCAGGGCTCTTTGTTCTTCCATTTAGAAGCAGGAATTGAATGCCACAGGCCAGGGAGGTGAAGGGGCAGAGGGAAGGGTCAGGCTTCCAGCCCTTGCTCTGATCTAGGAAAGGGGTTCTCTCCAGCCCCAGTGTGTGTGGGGGATATGGAGACCAGCCGCCTCCTCTGTTCCCACGACGCCCGCTGGCGAATCGTTTTTTCCATCTGTGAGTCACCGTAACAGATCCCCGTCATTTTCATAACAGTCCAATAAACAGGTATGGGCACTTCCGTACACTTTGGCCGGGATATGCAACTGACATGCACCAAGCAGGCAGATGCTTGGGGGGGATTCACAAAATCACTACGAATTCGTACAAACAACGCATTCCCTTCACTCCTGCATACACCCGACACATACAGATCCATGGCATTTAACTCCACTCCATTTCAAAAGATGTTTCTGCGCCCCCTCTATGGTCCACCACCTAGTGACAGGGACACATTTGTAAGGCAGACACCACTTCCCTATTCAACAGCTCCTAGCCTGCTGTTCTTTTTGAACATGAGAGTCCTCCTCTGAGAAGTGAGAGTAATGGCTCTGGCTCTGGTGTTGTTTTTTGATTGTTGGTCTTTTTTAATTTTAATTAATTTATTTATTTATTGGTTTTTCAAGACAGGGTTTTTCTGTAGCTTTGGAGCCTGTCCTGGAACTAGCTCTTGTCGACCAGGCTGGCCTCGAACTCACAGAGATCCGCCTGCCTCTGCCTCCCGAGTGATGGGATTAAAGGTGTGTGCCACTACCACCCAGCTTCTGGCATTGTTTTGAGTACTAGCTGGGTCACTGAAGGCAAAATCCTTGGAGTGGTGCTCACCATTTGGTGTTGTGTAGGTACGGTGGATGGATAGTGGCGGAGACTAGGTGAGGTAGGGTCCCGAGGGGCTTGGCAGCAGGCTCAGAGTGTCACAGGACTACCGTGACCACTCCTGCTGTTAGAGAGGAATGGGCAGTGTTGAAAACAACATTTGGGAACGCTCTGGGCAGGGGGTGGTTAAAGAAGGTTTTAGCAGTCAGTTGACTGTGAGCTGGATTTACAGAGTTGGAGAGGGAGTACTTGGGGGAGAATTTGGAACACCAGAGGGAAAAGAGGGAGGAGTGGTGGTCAGGAACCAGAAGAGTGTAGGCCCTGGCAAGTTTCACACAGCACCCCCTCCCATATATGTCTGCCTGTCTGTCTTCTAGCTATCTCTGTATCTGAGAGGTGGCAGGGAGGGAGGGAGGGAGGGAGGGAGGGAGGGTGAGAGAGAGAGAGAGAGAGAGAGAGAGAGAGAGAGAGACTCACACTTAAATACTTTCTTCCTGGCATGGTCATTAGTGGGATGTTCCTCCCTGTTTGCAGAATTAAAGCAGGCCTGGACAAGCGGCTTGCTATGGCAGGGAGAGCAAGTGAGCCCTCTGCCCTCCCCACAGAAGCGATTCATTCATGGCATCTTTCACATCTGGTCCTGGAGTAAGATCCGAACCCAGATTCAAATCATGGGAGGCCATTCATGTCGTGTCCCCCTGACCTAGACACTGTCTCCCCTGGTTCATGACCTCCAAGCCTAACAAGACAGGCTTCTTGGGCAGGGTATTAGATGCAGAAGATTCTGAGTAGCTCCCCTGGAGCTAAGGGCTTCGGATCGGGTCACAGGGTCCCCAGGTCAGAGCAGCAGCCCCTGGGCCTTATATTTCTGTTCCTTTGTCCAGCGGCTGTCCCTGGTTCGTTGTGATTCTAGGAAGCTGCCCTCATCAGTGTCGACATGTCACGGCCCAGCAGCAGAGCCATCTACTGTAAGCTTTCCGCCTCGCCTACCCTACTCAGCTCCCCTCTGGGCCAAGCTCCCCAAACCCCGTCTTCTCCACCGCCCCGGCAATTGTCCAAACCTAACCTCGCTTCTGCTGCCCCTGTCCTTGACTCTGTACCCACAGTGCACCGGAAGGAGTATTCCCAGAGCGTGGCCTCAGAACCTACCCTCCTACAGCACAGGGTGGAGGTGAGTACCCCTGGGCCCCAGGCAGTTTCTGAGTAAAGCTACGGGTCCTGGTGTGTCTTGCCTTGCCAGAACATAGATACACCTGACCCTGGTGCGACGGATCAACCTGACCGAACTCTGTGCAGTCAGACTCAGAAAGCCTGAGGCCTGAACACCTGCCAAGTTCAGGGGAGTAGAGAGCGGGCCGAGGGTGAGGAGAGCAGGCCCGGCTGGAGGTGGTGGGAGTGGATATTGGGTTCCTAGACAGAAGTGACAGAGGAAATAGTCAAGACCCATAGAAAGCCATCCTACCAACCCTTTCGTTTTCCAACCCACCTCCTGTACTTCGTTCAGGATTGCATATGGCTGTGGGGAAGAAGGTGTGAGGCAGCTGTAAGGGACAGTGTCGCAGAGGGGGAGAGTTGTACTCCCGGGCCAGGCTGAGCCACCGGAATGGAGTCTCTGGCCCCACCCAAATGGATAGCTGGCACTCTGAGATCTGGTCATTTGAATTGGCTTTTAAACTTCAAGGATGTGGTCAGAGAGCTTGCTCAACTAGGGACATGGAAGTGGCACGGGAGGGGGCACAGAACTCACCCCCACCCTGGTAGCCTCAGGTACTAAGACAAGTAGGACACCTAGAGTGCAGTAGAGAAGGGGCTCCCCAGTCATTGTTCAGCGTCTCTGGAGAGTTGAGGCTGGGAACCGGCTTCACTGAGACCCATCAGGCAAGAGCAAGAGGAGGTACAGTCAAGGCGACTGGCCAGTAGGCTCTGTTGAGGTCCTGGCGGTGTGGATGCAGTGAGAGGGGGCCATACCCAGGCAGGAGGGAGGATCGAGGGTCCAGGGGCAGGAGGTAGACGGCTTCTCTCCAGCAGAAGACTGGAGAAAGTGGTGGATGACTCAGGAAGGCAACATGTGGCTGAGGGAGGCGAGGGATGCCTAGAGGAAGGTCACCCAGGGAAAAGCTGCCAAACAATGGGACCAGCAGAAGGCAAGGTCCTGGGAGCCAGCAATGGCTAGAGCTCTCTCTGTGCAAGACTCAGAAAGAGGATCTTCCTGAGAGTCCCCGGGCACTGGGTTGGCACAGTTGGAAAGACATCTGGGTGTGGGCAAGAGTATGGAAAAAGGCTTGTGAGGTCAGCAAGCAGGGCGGGGGGCAACCTGAAGACAATAGTTCCTCAAGGCAGCGAAGGGAACCAGAAAGGTCCTGTAGCCCACACGAATGACTGTTGGATGATTGGGACTCACGCCCCTGACCACCCAGTCACCTTAATGATGTTTCCTTTGGAGTCCCAGAAGCCCTTAGCCCTAGACCTAGTTCTAGACTAGCCTCGTCAAGAAGACAACCTCTTTAGGCTCTTGCTTTATTGAAAAGAATGACCTCCCCACAGGGGGAGCCAAGGACACACCTTCCTCCTCCCCTTCCTTTTCCCTTCCTGCTGCCATCTGGGATCCTCTCTCCAAACCTTCTCCCAACGCCAGTCTCTTCCTGTCCCCTTAGCATCTGATGACATGTAAGCTGGGGACACAGAGAATCCGGGAACCGAAGGATGCCCTACAGAAGCTTCAGGAGATGGACGCGCAGGGGCGAGTGTGGAGCCAAGATCTGCTCCTGCAGGTCAGAGATGGCTGGCTCCAGCTGCTGGACATTGAGACTAAGGTCAGCCTTCTCGACAAACCCAGCTGTGGGCCCTGGCTAACCCAGGATGCTAAAGAGCAACATCCGGGCTCTCCACCTGCCCCTCAGTGCCTCTTCATGTTCAATACACATCCCAAACCAGGGAGAAGCAGGACAAAGTCTGGGGATAAGAGGCATAAGAATCGGGGTAGAGACTCTACCCAGCCCACCAGAGAACAGGGATGGCCTTTTTACAGTCTCGGGGTGCTCCATGACCTCCCCACATTTGGCCTTTCCACCTGCTTTAGGAGAACCTGGATTCTTACCGCCTGGACAACATCAAGGCCATGGATGTAGCGCTCAACACCTGCTCCTACAACTCCATCCTATCAGTCACCGTGCAGGAGTCTGGCCTGCCGGGCACCAGCACTTTGCTCTTCCAATGCCAGGAAGTAGGGGTGAGTGACTGGGTAGAATGGTCAAGGGTGGAGTTTGGTGACCATCACACACACACACACACACACACACACGCACACGCACATTCACACACATAATAACTGCTGCTTCCTCCAGGCAGAGCAACTGAGGACAAGCCTGCAGAAGGCCCTGGAGGAAGAACTAGAAGAAAGGTAGGCTGCTTCTGCCCAGCAACATACAGGGCCTCCTAACTCAGACCTGAGGGTCATATCCTGGCTACATATGTGGAAAACTCATGATCCTGGGACCTAACAAACACATACCAAGGACTATAAAGGCTTAGTTCAATGAAGGGTGTTGGGATTGGGAATGTATTGAGTGCATTGGATACTGTGTCCAGAAGCTGTTATAGAACCCAGGGAGGCCCAGGAACCAGGCAGGTGAAGGATGGTGGAGTGGGAAGGCTCAAGTAGAGACTAAGGAACAGGAGTGGGGTTCCTAGAGAGAGATGGTGGTGCCCATGGGTCCTGGGGCAGAAGTGTGGGCTTAGCTATCCTTCTCAAGAACTTTATCAAAGTTGTATCTTTTCCCATGCCCCCAACAGACCTCGATATGGAGTCCTTCATCCAGGTCAGGACAGATGGAAGGGGTATTCTCCGGAAAGGTCGTTCCCTATACAACAGGCACCCCCTCTGGAGCAGAGGTACTCTCCAGAACGGAGGTCCCCTCCAGAGCAGAGGTACTCTCCAGAACGGAGGTCCCTTCCAGAGCAAAGGTTTCCTCCAGAGCAGAGGTTTCCTCCAGAACAGCCACACCACATGACCCCAGAACGAAGTAAGTTTGTGTCTGAAAGCGAGTGGAGGAAAAGGTTTGGATCAAGTCAAAGAAGTTCTAGGGTTATGGTCCCTCCCCATCCATTGCAGGCATCCCACCATCCCCAAGGTCCCTGGCACTCTACCCAGGTGCCCGAGAACCAAGTGACTTCACTCTGCCTCCTCCCCCAAGGCGTGCTCCATCTCCTGAGGACCTGGAGATGGATGAGGTAACTGAAGGTGGTTGGAGGCTTGCTGGCGCTTCCTGGGCTTGGGAGAAGGGAGGACCAATTCTCAGGAACCCAGATGCACAGGATAGACAGGGCAGGAATGGGATTGAGGCTGGGAGTTTTGGTGGGATGACAGCAGGGCTAGGGCGGGGAGTTTCTGGGTTTTCATGACTGTCCACTCAAGGCCATGTGTTGTTGGGGGTCCAGGAGGTGCTGAACCATCTCCTGAGTGACATTGAGCTGTTCACTGGGAAGCTGAAGGAGGCCAAGGCAAAGGACAGTCGCAAGAAGAGAAAACTTGGAAGGAAAAAGAAGAAGGCTCAAAACAGTAAGCACTTCATGCCAAGGGAGAGGAGCAGGGGTGTCTTGGCAGGACGTGGAAACCTTACCTTTATTCCTTCTCCCACAGAGATAACAACAGCACAGTACATTGACTGTTTCCAAAAGATCAAGTTCAGCTTCAACCTCCTGGTTAGTGGCTCTGACCAGTTCTGGGCCTTTCTCCCCTAACTCCTCTCTCTCTGATGTGAGCCACCTAAACCTTTCCCGGCTCCAGCTTCTCCTTCTCGGGGGACTTTTGAAGGGTGCAACATACTTATGGGGTGCTAGGGTTCTGGTGAAGGGAAATGCCGGATGGAAACCAACATTGAGCTGTGTCTTCAGGGGAAGCTGGCCTTAAGGCTGCAGGAAACAAGTGCTCCTGAGTTCGTGAACCTCCTCTTCCAAACCCTTAAATTCGTGAGTGGAGGGCAGATGGGGTGGCAAAGGGGACAAGGTAAAGCCAAGGAGGAGCAGAGGAAAGAACACAGCAGGGGCAGAGGGAACTGTGGGAGCTGCCCTTTATTCAACATGCATCTTCATGCCAGGATACCACTCAAGACAAAACCCCCAGCAGACCTGAGGGGCTGGCAACAGAGTCAAGGACACCAGTATTTGAGGGGACAGGCAGGAAGTGGGGGACAGACAGGAAGCAGGGGGACAGGCAGTAAGCGAGGAGACAGAGCTGAGGGATCTCTGGACAATTCCTACTCCCTTCTGAACCCCTCTTTCCACTGCTCCTCCAGATCCTGGAACAGTGCCCTGAGGATGGCCTTACAGCTAAAGTGATCTCACCCCTCCTCACCCCCAAAGCCATAAACCTGCTACAGTCCTGTCTAAGCCCACCCGAGAATGCTCTCTGGAAGTCGCTAGGCACCGCCTGGACCACCAGCCAGTAAGTCAAGACAACGGGTGTGGAGGAACCAAAGCAGGGCAGGACGTGCGGCCTGGTGGTACGCTATCATAAACCAGAGACATATCGAGAATGTGGGGAACTCTACACGGAGTTCCCAACTTTTTACTAAACACTGCCTTTACCCAGTGAAGAAACACATTACTTCAGAGGGGGAAAATGCAAACCTTCTACTAAAATGTATGTTCATTTTCACCAGGGACAAAGTGAAAACTTGATCTTAGTCCAGCTCAGAATTTAAGAATGTCTTACAAAAGAGATGTCACAGATGTGACATCCAAAAGTTGACCCAGCAAGCAAAGATGCTGTAGCTGAAGGGGTGGACATAGGGCCAGTTAGAGAACCTGGGGATTGGGAAGGAAACTCACTTGGAAACCTGGACAACATGTCACAGGAGTAGTCTACAGAGGCCACACATCTGGGTCCCCAGCTGTGAGACCCCAATTATGGGATAGATCAGTCTCAGAGTGTCAGGTAGCCACAATGAGAGGCCTGTGAGGGATCCACTGGGAGCCCCTGACCTTGCTTCCTCGAGTGTGGTTGGTAGCAGAAGAAATTGTTGCTCTAAGGTAGAAGGAAAAGTAGGAAGAAGGCAAAAGGGAATTACAGAACTGCTGGGCGTGGTGATTCACGCCTTTAAGCCCAGCACTTGGGAAGCTGGAGGCAGAGGCAGGTGGACCTCTGTGAGTTTAAGGCTAATCTGGTATACAAACTGAGTTCCAGGACAGCTAGGGCAACACTGAAAAACCCTGTCCAGAAAGAAGAGAGAGAGAGAGAGAGATCTAAAAAGAGAACACAAAGAGCAGAGGTAATCAAAATAAGAAGAAAATATCAAGAGCTCAGAGCCATCAGCAGGGAGACAAGTCATTTGAGAGTCTGGGGCTTGGGCAGGAAACTCCCACACATTTGCCTAAAGAGCAGTTCTTTTCAATTCAGGCCCATGTGAAGTTTTGTCCAGTTTGCTTAGTTTCAGTACTTATTTTGATGGTAGAATATACATAACATGATAATGTACAGATTTCAGTATATAATTCAGTAGCATTAAGTATATATTGATACTGTGCCCCGGCACCACTCTCTAGCTCTAGAACTTCCTCACCCCAATCTGGTAAAGACTAATTCACCGTCTCCCCCTGGCTACCCTTGCTCTATGTTCTTATCAGTTTGCCTATTCTGGGCACTTCACATAAGTGAAGTAAGACATGGTTCATCCTTTTGTGGCCAGCTGATTTTATCAGTATGTCCTCAAAATTCATCCGTGTTGTTGCATGTGTCAGAATTTCCTCCCTTTTGTGGTGGACTAACATTCCCTCGTATGGACAAGTCGTATTTTGTTGATCCTTTATTCATCAATGGACATTTGGATCGCTGAAGCCCAAAGGATCTGTTTTATGTGGTTTGTCTAGCCACTCAGAGGAAGGGATTTATAAAGTCTGGACCTCTTATAATGTCTTAGACACTGGATGCTGTAGCTGCACTGGGCTCACTCACCCACGGGGACAGCTTTGATGTGCAGTGCTAGCAGGAGAGGAGAGCAGGGTCTGTGGTGGACCAAGACAAGGCCTCCGATGCTTTCGTTCTGGCCCTTTAACGTGGAATGTCCACGCTATGTTGTAGTAGGACTTTCTCATCAGGCCTGCCAGCCCACAAGTAGTGACACGGAGACTTATTAATAATTATGAAAGCTTGGCCCTAGCTTAGGCTTGTCCTCAACTAGCTCTTGTAACTTATATGAACCCATTTATATGAATCTATGTTCTGCCACGGGGTGTTACCTCGTCTCCATACTGCCCATCCTGCTTCCCCTGTGTCGAGCTGATGACTATGTGCCTAGATTTCTTCTACTCTTCCTCTCTCTCCCTGGAAATCCCGCCTATCCTCTCCTGCCTAGCTATTGGCCATTCATCTTTTTATTGTACCAATTGCAGTAACACATCTTCACACAGTGTAGAAATATTCCACAACATTAGGCATGTCGTTTTATGCTTCTAAACCCAGTATTACTCGGAAAATTTGAGGAATAGTCTGTAACGTGCCTGCTGCACACGTCTGAGGACCTGAGTTTGAATTCCCAGCTCTCATATAAAGGCCAGACATGGCAGCATGCCTGTAACCCCAGTGTGAGAGTCAGGGTAGACAAAGGAGGGTCCTGGAGTGACAGCCAGTCTAGCTGAAGAGAAGCACACCAGGTTAAATTGGAGACTGTGTCCTAAAAAGTTAGGTGGAGATGGCATCAACCTCTGTTCTCCATACGCACAAGCACACACATGTGCACACCCCAAACCAAGATGAGGATGTAGGATATACCACACACATGCATACACACACGCAAGCATGCAGGCATGCATGCACGCACGCACATTTGCAACATGGAAGACTGGGTCGGCAGATATAATTTTAGCAATATCCATGAAGAAGCAGAACAATCCCAGTATTAATAAAATGGCACAGATTTGATGAATAATCCATCAAGTCAGATATGCCCTAAAAAATCCCTAATTTCTCAAAATAACTAGAAGTGAATAGATTAACATGAAAGAAATACAGAAAATAAAAGACACATAAAAGTCCTTAAAAGAGCTGAATTTCTGTCCAATTACATTTTAGACAAAATGACCCAAAGTTTTAAGTAACACTAAACGTTCTGGTGACCCAGGAAGATGGGGAACAGTCTCTGGACTTGGAGAACAGATGATCAGGATCACCCCATCCCCACGGGTAGAGACCAAGCACAGAGCTTTGCGCATGTTAGGCAAGCACTCCCCCACTCAGCTGGAAAACACATCTCCAGCCTGATAATCAGAACTTTCAGTGCACCGGTTTCAGTCCAGTAGGGGGCAGAGGCTGCAGCCAGAGGTAAGGAAGCATAGCATAGGGAGGGCATGAACGCACATTCCCAGGAGGCTTGGTAAAGAGACAGTCAGGACCATAGCTTAAAGGAAGTTGTAACCTGGTCAGCAGAAGACCCGAGCATGTTTCTAGGGCACAGAGAAAACACCACTGATGAAGAATTTCCTCTTCCTGAATAAGAATTGTCATTAGTATTAGCTCCTGCCTATGCTGCAGCCATAGTGATAGGAAGACAGCCCCGCCCCCAGCCAGGAAGTGCAGCACAGTAAGAAACAGAACGAGTGAGAGAGGCTGTACTAACTTTGAAGGGTTTTTTTTCTTGCTGTCCCAGTGAGGCAAGGAGAGGAACTTCGAGGGGCGAGGGAGCATTCAGGGGCAGATAAACCTGGAGTCTAGAAATGGCGTGGTCCTGGGCTGTGGGCAAGGGGGAGGTGAGAGGCATGTAGGAGCCCATCCTGGCATCAGGCAGAGCAGCCCCACTGCGATGTGTCTCCCTTGATGGAAGTTCTTCATGCTGCTTAGCCAGAAGGACAGAGAGCTGCGGTGGGGACACGGCGAACAGGTTAGAAAAATACTGAACGGGCCAGGCGTGGGGCACAGACCTGTAATCTCAGCTACCCGAGAAGCTGAGGCAGGAGGACTGCAAGTTCAGGGTCAGCAAGAGCTAGCTACACAGTGAGTTCTGGGCTTGCACAACTCAGTGAACACTGCCTCAAAAATAGAAGTGTTTTAGAGGGGGTGGGATGGAGACAGTGGCAGCGTGCACAGGGCCTGCACGGGTCTGGGCCAGATGGGGTCCCAGTGCTGAGAGGGGAAGTGTACACGAGCCTCCATCTGTGACCTAACTGTTCACAAATGAAAAATTGTTTTTTTCTCTAATGGAGTCTCATTGGGTGTACAAACTACTCTAAAAGCCAGGCCCTAGGCCAAGTATTGGTAACACAAAATGAAATCAAAGGCATTTTTTGAAGGTTCTTTGTCACATAATGCTTTGTAGGGGCTCTTCTCCTTCTCCTTCCTTCTCCTTCTCCTTCTTCTTCTCCTTCTTCTTCTCCTCCTCTTCTTCTTCCTTCTCTTCCTCCTCCTCTTCCTCCTCCTTCTCCTTTCTCCTCCTCCTTCTTTTCTCTTCTCCTCCTCCTCTTCTCTTACCTTGCAGGTGTTATGCCCAGTTTTGTGTTTTTATGGGTTGTCTCTATGTGTGCACATGGGTGTCACTACATCTATATGTGCTTCCGGAGCCTTTTCTTTGGCTCTTTTTCTTCCATTTGCTTGTTTATCTCCTACTCTGGTTTATTTGTTTTATCTCATTTTATTTCATTTTTTAGATGCTTGTTTGTATTCCAGTGAGAGAGAAAAAGAAAGGGTGTGGATTTGGTTGCTTGGGGAGTAGGGAAGGATCTAGGAGGGGTTGGGGGAGAAGAAATCATAATCAGAATGCATTTTATGAAAAAATCTATTTTAAATATAAATAAATAAAAGGGGGTAGGGTTGCTCTTTAAAGTCCCCAAAGGGGTCTTCCAGCCCCAATACTCTAGATTATACCACTTTAATTCTAAACTTTAATGAGGGTGACTGAGTGTCCCCTGTGTCCCTAGGGAGGTGACACAGCTATACCTTTGGGACCAAGGTGAAGCTGCCCCCAGATACTTAACACTGTTAATCTTGTTCTTGCTTAGCCATTTGCTCCTTTGTGGGTTCTCTGTAACCTGTCATAAGCATACATTCACCATGTCCCCATTAGCCACAGATCCCTGAGGCTAGGCCTTCTCATCTACCCCCTCCCCACATCCCACAGCCTGGCACACAGTGGTCCTAGACCCAGCTTTGTTCTCCCCTCAGGGCTGACTGGACAGGAGATGAACCATCACCCTACCGACCCACATTCTCTGACGGCTGGGAGATTCCAGAGCCCTACTTCATGGTAAGGGTTGCTTAGCACGGAGACCTACACAAAGCTCTTCCAGTCCAGATCAAAACCACACAACAACTAAGGGGTGGGTGGTATGGGCACCTGATGGGGAGACAGACAATGGACAAGAGGCAGGAGTTGCAGGCCTGTGATGGTTGGGCAGCCCTAATCACCAATGTACTGGGTACCTCCTGTTCTAACCCACTCTGGTTTTGTTTCTTATAGGAACCCCTAAGAAACCAGAACTCTATTTCCTTCCGGTATGTCACAGGTTTAGTGGATGCTCACAGTCACAAGGAGGGAGGTAGAGAGCAGAGCCTTCATACCCATGGATCATTACATACCAGAGACCATTTGTACTTAACTCTTAGTTGGATACGGACATGTGCGATCATGTCTCTCTTCTACCTTGGGTGAAAAAGCAGTTTCTTACCACCTAGTCTCTGAATTCTTCTTGTAGCCTCTGAGTCCCCAAAGCTCAGGTATAAAGTGCTCAGAGCAGAATCAAGATCCAGAACACCCCACTTCTAGAAATGTTCTCAGAGATAAATGACATTTTAGAGCCCTCCCTGACCCCTGTCGGCAAAACCTTGTACCTGAATCCCCACCTAACACTAGTGCCATCAAACCTCCCAAAGCCACCAACAGGCCGTTGGTGGTAACTGGGAGCTATCTGGAGCTCAGGTGGCTGGGGCAGGGGCACAGTTCCCTTCTGTCCAGCCATCCTGACTCTGCCTCTCACCTCTACTCAGAGGGTCTAGGATGAGGAGCAGCCTACACTTCCCTCAGGATGAGCCATACAACCATAGCGAGGACTCAAACCTCCCACGCTCCAGTCCCATACCTGCCGACTCCATCCTGAAAATGCAAGTCCTATATGAGTTTGAAGCAAGGAATCCACGCGAACTGACTGTGGCCGAGGGGGAGATTCTGGAGGTGAGGCCTATGCTTGAAGCCAGAAAAAGAGGTGGTTGGTGGGAGGTCAAGTTCGCCTGGAGTGGGCGGCTTCCAGAGGGAAAAGAAAAGTGGAAAAGACCAGGGAAGGACGAAGCCTTGGGGACAGAGGTTCTGGTGGCTGACATGGGTGATTCTCGGTAGGTTCTGGACCAGAGCAAGCGTTGGTGGCTGGTGAAAAATGAAGCAGGACGGACCGGTTACATTCCCAGCAACATCCTGGAGCCCCTGCCTGCTGGAGGCCCTAGAGACCACAGACAACCATCCTTTAGGGTACCACTCAGCCTAGGAAGCCCTGTGTCCTGAAGGGAGGATGAGGTGGCAAATGGAGATGGTCATAGTTCAGTTTCATCGCTACCACTGCATGCTTCCTGGGTTCATGCAAGCTCATGGGAGGGTCTGAACAGAAATGAAGTCAGGGTCCCTGCCAAACCAGAGAACTAGGAAGTAAGATAAGCAGCTTGGTGGGTCTCAGTAGAAGACGGGTGCAATGTGGGAAGCTGGGCACGGCTGTGGGAGGGATGACCTCTGACTTCAAGGATCCTTGATTCTAGGCTCCAATGCTTCGTCTTAGCTCAAAGCCTGATGAAGTCACAGCCTGGCTACAAGCAGAGAACTTCTCCACCATGTGAGTGCCCAGCCTCATGGGGGCGGGGGGTGAGGGGAGAGCCTTGTAAAGGGCTCAAGTGAGAACCGCAGGCCCCTTAACACGCAGCCTAGCTTCCACTGTGCGTGATGATTCCATCTTAGGCTTTCTTGGCTCAGCGAAAGAGGACAGGAGAGGCTGCCTGTCTGAGCCCAGGGTAGGGCACCACATGTCGTGAGAGCGCAAGAGTCAAGGGCAGTGAATTCTGGAAGAACCCGGCCTGTCACTTTCACCACCCCTCCCTTCCAGAACATGCTCTTCTAAAGTGCTGTGCTCTCAAACCCAGGAGTTCTGTGACTGACTTATTCCTGCACCTGCAGATACCTAATTCCTGTCACCCCCAACTTGCCTTCTCTACACAAATCCTGAGGCTGAGCATTCTTCCACCCCACCTCTGATGGATTCCACCGTTGTTATTTACAGCACCGTAAGGACCCTGGGGTCCCTGATGGGGAACCAGCTGCTCCACATGAGACCTGGGGAGCTGCAGATGCTGTGCCCACAGGAGGCGTCACGGATCCAGGCCCGGCTGGATGCTGTTAGAAGGATGCTGGGGGTGAGGCCCTGACTCCCGCCCAGAGGTTCTATATCCTCTCAGGCTGAGAAAGGGAGAACTGGGAACACTAGGTGTGGGATATTCCTCTGGGGACTCAGCTTCTCCACTCAGGTGTCTGGGAGCTCTAATCATATTGATGGTATGATCTCTGGGGATCCCTCACTTGGCGCCAGCTGCATCTGAATTATTTTCTTCCTTTAGATGAGTCATTAGATACCAGCTCAAATACCTCCAAGATCAAAGACCTCTCATATCCAAGACGGAGTATTTGGTACCCAGTTAGAGCCCTCAGAAGTCCTCTTTCAGTTTGTGGCAAACCACACATCCCAGATCACACAGCAAAGAAGATGAACAGGCCCAGACTTTGAGGCAAATGGTACCCTTGTTGGGTTGGAACTCTTCTCCGGTTACTATTTATTTTATCCCTATCCTGAGCTTGGCATACTTATTCCTAATCTCTTGTTCTTACTCCTTTCCAATAAAAAAAGCATCTTTAAGCCTGTTATATGCCTCTCCCTTGCCGTTTGTTCTGGGCCTGATGGGAGCCAAGGGGAGGAAACAGGGAGCCAGGATACTGGGTATAAAACAACCACAACCCTACAACCTCGACTGGTCAGACTGAGCTAAAGAGAGAACTTACTGCAATCTGGAGCTGAGCATCAGCCTCGGGGGACTGTGGTCCATTCTCCTTCCTCCTCTCTAAACAAACTCCCAAATGAGGCAATGCTCTCCTCCTATGAACATGGCTCCCAGTCTAATCCAAAGCTCCTGGTACAGCTGAAGGCACGGCACTCCCGGCAGCAGAGAAGCTGCAGCTGGCAGCTGTGGGCTCTGCTCACGCTGACTGGTGCATCCAGAGGAGCATGAAGAGGTGAGGTACCTACCACCGCTCTTCCTGGGAACTTCAACTACTGTTTGTTAGGTGGGTCAATCATGAGCTTCCTCCCGCCTGTTTCTTTACTGGCACAACACAGGCATGTTACCTGGGAGCGGAAAGTCCTCAGGTCCACTGTGCAAACTCAGGCAAGTCGGTCCGTCCCCTGGACCTCTGTCCTCAGGTTAAGTGTGCGTTTGGGTTGTGTGTGGCATCTCTTGTCTTTCAGTGTAAGTAGTTTACTTCGGTCTCAAAATTCATGAAATGAACTCTTCTCCACAGAAGAGAAGCTATGCTTTCGTTGATATTCTCTGTGGGTAAGGTTCAATGTTCTTGTGGATTTAAGATCCCCTTGTAGGGTCTTAAGATGGTCCAGGAAATCTGTTTTGGCTGAATTTATCCAAGCCCGCAACATCATCCAGAGCAGAGTACCTTATTTTCAGACGGTCTCTATCAGTTCCCTCAACTTCCCTGGCCTCATGAGATCATCTTTTGTAGTTAGGAACACAAACTAAGAAAGCAAAACTTTTTTTCAAAAAAAAAAAAAAAAGGAAAAATGGAAGGAGATACTAACCCATTGGCCTTGGCTTCTAAGAGCTAAAATCCAGGGAAAACCTAGATTGTTCCCCTGACTTCATATTAAAGGCGATGGTGAGGTAAGAGGCTATACGACTAGCCGAGCACAGTGGAACCAGTAAAAGTATTAGATCATCCTCAATCTGAATCCTGGATCACCTGGGGAACTTGATTGGCTTACCCATCTTCTAGAGGCCTCCACTCCTTTTTCTAGAAAACAGGCAGAACACCGCCTGAACAAAGCCTGAATTGGACTATATTAACTACAAGGGAAACACCCAGACCATTGCCTGGCACGCTGTGAATTTAGTCTAGTGCTTCAGGTTAGTTTGTCAATGGCTTTTGTTTTCTTGTGGGGATTATAACGTCGCGTGTCTCTATACTAATTTCTTCTTTTTTAGTACATCACTTTTTTACAAAGTCTGAAGCTTGATTCAGCTAAACTATGGGGAAGTATGATTTCCCACCACCCAGGCTCGAGGAGTAAATGTTGGGAGCCCTGCATTGCTGTGCTGTGGAGGGTGAGCAGAACAACTCTGGACTCCCCCCTAAACCCCGCCTCCACAATAGCCCAGAAATCCTCTTGTCTGCCCAGAACTGACAAAGCCACTGTGTATCTTGGGTAGTGGATATTTCTACCCCCAAAGTACTTTAGGTATTGCTTTATATTCAAATCATTTCCCACCTCACAGTTTTATGTGTCTACGTGATTTATTAGTTCTTCTTGTTGTCGTGTTTTCCTTCTTAGCCCTTCACATGTCCCTCCAAAGGAGCCAAAGACAGCGGTCCCCTTGTGGTCAGAATTCCGACTCCCGCTGACCAACGCCAGCTCATTATGCGGCATGACTCTCACGCTCCCCGGGTAACTAGGGTCCAGGTAACTAGGGTTGTGGATGCATCAGCAGCCGGGGAGGAAGTTCGCACCACAAGCTTTCAGGCCCCGCAGCTGCGCGTGCGCGCCCGTGGCCCCGCGACCACGCGAAAGGCGGGTGGAGCACGGGACGAGGAAGGAGGAGCCAGTCCGATCACATTGGCCCCGCCCACAGCGTCCAGTATAAAGTTGGGCGCCCACAAGCCTTCGTACATCCTCGCAGGGGCTCAGATTTTCCAACATGTCGTCCAAGTCGTCTATGGTTCTGGGTTACTGGGATATCCGCGGGGTGAGTAGCTCCTCGCCAGCCCAGCTGCTGGGACAGAAATGCAGGCGGGGTCGGTGGGTTGCAGCCAGTCCGGAGGGGGCCTCCCAGCTGTGACCAGGGTCAGCTGAGCTGCCCTCCGAGGCCTACCTCCGGCCAGCCTGTGGGGTCCCCAGGCCCGTGGGGAGAGGAGGAGACAGAACATTTCGGGGCCAGAACGAAGGGTCTGCTTAACGACAACTTCCCCCACGACACGATACAGGAACTTGGCAGCGTTGGGCTGGGGACGTTGACGGGCGGGGTTTGGGAGCGAGTGGGAACCGCGCAGGCGCGCTGACCTGGGTCCCTCTCCATCCCCCCCCCCACCTTTAGCTGGCTCATGCCATCCGCATGCTCCTGGAGTATACTGATACCTGCTATGAGGAGAAACGGTACACGTGTGGGGAAGGTAACGTTTGTGGGTGCCGGTGGCCCCCTGCACTGGGCCAGAGTGACCCTCCAGTTGTCTTTCACCCAGGGAGGAACACTACACCGAGGTTGTATGGGTCCCCTGCTCCAGTCAACTGGGAACTGTGCCAAGAGAAGCTCAGTCATGGGATTCCCTCTTGCTGTCCAATCAAATCTTAATACGTAGGCTACAGAAACCCAAGCGTTAGGTTTGGGGGATTGGGAACTTGAGGTATCAGGACTGTCATTTCTCGGCTAGGCTGGTAAGGGAGTCGGGTTCCACTTTTCTCTTACAGCGCCTGACTATGATAGGAGCCAATGGCTGGACGTGAAATTCAAGCTAGATCTGGATTTTCCTAACGTAGGTGGCTTTGAAGGCCTTCTAGCTATGTCTTTTACTTCGTCTCTGGTTTGGGAGAATCTAGAATAGAGGCTCTTCACATGGAGAGAATGGAGAGAATTCAAAGGCCATTAAACAGGGGGAGAGCAACATTTTAACTCCCACTAACGACTATCAAACACTAACATTTTTCTCTCTCAAAAAGACAGGCTATAAGAGACATTCGTTACTAACCTAGATATGTGGCTTTGTCACTGATAAAAATCTCCTCAATGTGTCCCAGTATCTTAAGTGTCATGGTTGTTAAATGCTCTCTAATGTATCCATAAACACACTACTCTTAGTTTTACTTTAAAATATAAAATATTTACAGTTTGTATATAAAAAGTATTCTGAGAAAGTCGACATGCCGTGCATACATTCACACTGACACACAGAATTAAGCGCGCTTGTCTAGAGTCAGGTGGGGATTTTCTTTCTCCTAGCTTCTGTTATCTCCTGTTTACTGCCTTGCAAGTCTCTGTTCCAGAAGAGTGGAAGAGGCAAGACCAAGGTTTACTATGTCCCGGTTTCCTTCCAGCTGCCCTACCTTGTGGATGGGAAGAACAAGATCACCCAGAGTAACGCCATCTTGCGGTACATCGCCCGCAAGCACAACATGTGTGAGTGGCCCAGCGCTGATGTGAGAGACACGAGGTCCAGGGTGGGTAAGCCCCAGGGTGACTTATTGCTGTCTGACCTTCAGGTGGGGACACTGAAGAAGAGAAGATAAGAGTGGACATCATGGAGAACCAGATAATGGACTTCCGCATGCAGCTGGTTCGGCTCTGCTACAATTCTGACCACGTGAGTTGCGTTGCCGGGAATCAGCTGTGCTGGGTCTCAGGCAAACGTGCTAAGAATTGCTCTGCTCCCTTCTGTGGTTGCCATCTTTTCATCGACCCAACCTGTAAGGATTGGAAACAGATTTTATTTTTTGTTTGTTCTGTTGTGTAATTCCGGCATGAGTGTCTCTTCCTTTCCAAAGCCAGCTCCCCGTCCTGCCTCCTCCAAGTGAAGGCAGTAAGAAGCTGCCTACAGAAGGGCCTGCTGTGTCCATCACTGGGCCAGGCCCTGACTATAGCTGTCAGCTATTGTTGTGTGTGTGTGTGTGTGTGTGTGTGTGTGTGTGTGTGTGAGAGAGAGAGAGAGAGAGAGAGAGAGAGAGAGAGAGAGAGAGAGAACAAACAAGAGAACACAATGTGTGCAGAGTCCAAAGACAGCATTAATGTGGACCTGGTAACCAAATTCTGGTCACTCCCGTCGAACCATCGTATCAATCCAAGAACAGCATCGTTCTTTCCCCTCCTAGGAAAACCTGAAGCCTCAGTACTTGGAACAGCTCCCTGCACAGCTGAAGCAATTCTCACTCTTCCTGGGGAAGTTCTCATGGTTTGCAGGGGAAAAGGTAGGAAGGAGGCGCAGGAGAGGAGCCCGCCTGTCTCTGCAGGTCCTGGTTCATTCCTCAGGCCTGACATCTCATTGTCCTCCTTCTAGCTCACCTTTGTGGACTTCCTCACCTATGATGTCCTGGACCAGAACCGGATGTTTGAGCCCAAGTGCCTGGATGAGTTCCCAAATCTGAAGGCTTTCATGTGCCGTTTTGAGGTGATTTCCGTGTCCCTTTCTCACAGAAAAAAGCACAGGCTCCCTACACCCTGCAGGCCCCATTGTCCTTCTGCCTAAAGGAATCAGTAGACACCTCTAGGCTGCTAGGCAACAGCTGAAAGAGCTGGGTGGAAGGCAGGCAGCATGAGAATGCCACTGTATCCGTGTGGGTCTGCTGGGCGGGACTGGAGTCCTAATGAGGCCCGGTATGCTGTTCCTTCAGGCTTTGGAGAAAATTGCTGCGTTCCTGCAGTGTGACCGCTTCTTCAAGATTCCAATCAACAACAAAATGGCCAAGTGGGGCAACAAGTGCATATGCTGAGCCAGGGACACTGCTGCTGCTGCTCGCTTGGTTCCGTTCCATCCCGAGGGCCTGCTTCTGCTCTTTCTAATAAACAGCAGTTACATTAGCTGGTGTCTGGGTGGATTTCTTGTAGGGCTAAAGACCAAAGGAGGTGGAGTGAGGGGATGATAAGAATGACATTCCCTTACTTCCCAGCTGAGTTCAAGGGCAAGACATTTTCCCCAAGCCGAAGTGGACACTGGAAATTGAGGCTTTGCCCCGTGCCAGGCAGAAGCTGCTTTAAACAGACATGGAGCGCTTATGGAGCCATGAAGATAATCAAGTAAAACTGTGTGGTGCTGATAGACTCAACAGAACTGGAACTCACAAACGACCTACGTTGGGCACGGGAGAGCGTTTAATGTGATAAAGGTGGCGTTTTAAACTGCGGGCTTGTCAATAGAATTGGAACAGTTGGCTACTAATTAAAAATTAGCCCTAAACCTCATGCTAGGTGACGGACACAGCTGGTGAACCTGAAGACTGATACAGGCACCTGAGGAAATCATCCGTCCGTCTTAAATTCAAATCCTATCCCGTGGCCCAACCGTTCTTCCCCCTATGAGCGCCACTGAAAATGTGTGTACCCCAAGAGGTAAATTATATCACATAAGAACAAGTAGATGCCACATAAATGCCCAGCAGTGCTAGGGAGTAACATACAGCGTAAAGGAGAATGAACGGTGGGTGTGGTGGCAATCACTCGTAATGCTGATGTTAGGGAGGCAGAGACAAGCAGAGTCCTGCCCAAAGTCTAGCCAAGTAATGGGTTCTTGACCAGGGAGAAAGAAAGATGGATAGCTTCCTGAGGTCCAGCTTCCACATGTGAGCATACATGTACAGTGGAGACACAGAAGGGACTATAGGAATCAACATGGAAAGATCCCCAAGGTACTTGAGTCCCCAAACTAGTTTACAAATAAGAAGTACAGCACATCTCTTTAATGATTTAAAAGCATCCATTTTCCCACAGACACATTTAAGTGAATGCCTAAGAGCATAGAGGGACGTGGCTACCAACGTCAGTAAAAGAGTCTCCTGGGAAGAGATGTAATCGTGTGTAACACAACCATGGGACTTACACCCCGTGTTTCTGTCCTGTTAGAGTTTGAACACCGAATGCCCTCCGAAAGCCAATGTTAAAGGCTTGTCCTTCAGCTGGTTGGTGCTTCTGGGGGCAGTGGTGGAGGTAGAGACCCTTTAAGAAAAGGGGTCCATGGGGGAAAGAGGGACTCTGGTTCCTTCTGTCTCTCCCAACCTGCCTTGCTTCCTTCCCGGCTCTTTCCCCTCCCAGCCTCTTGTCTCTTGTTTCCTGACTGCCACAGGTTAAGAGGCAGTCACATGCTCTCATCACGAGGAACTGTGCTACTGCAGATCCAAAGCAACAGGGCCAGAGATTGCAGTTTCTGACATTCTGAGTCAGAATAAATCCTTCCCCCTATAAAGCCGATTTATCCCAGGTATTTGTCATAGTGGCAGAAAATTCACATGGAATTGGGGGGAAATCAGCCACTCAAGAGGAGGGCAATACACAAGAGACAAAAATTGGGGATGTAGAAACCATCTCAGGGTTTACTCACTGCAAGGCAGAAGGCAAGGAAATAGAAAAATTAGCCTTCCATCTTCTAGTATAAATTCTAAGGAGACATAAGAAAGCATACAACACAATTCATCTACAGAATTCCAGATATTCAGATTATGAATAAATCACATCTATTTTTTTTTCTGGGCATTATATTGATGGTCATTTATGTGGTCTAAAATGCAGTGAGCACCTCCAAAGGAAGAGAGGTGGCTCTCCAGTCCCCGGTCAGTCTTGAACTCTTAATTCTTACACAGTCCAAGAAAATAATGCTGTACCAATGGCCCCCTTTTGGTTGGTTCTAGTGAAGATAGCCTATCATCTCAGAAAGACAGAGGGGTGCAAATACTGATAAACTAGTGATGAGTTTGTATGAGCCACCTCAATAGGTAAAAAGGCCTTATCAATGCATTC